CCCCCTCATCAATGGCATCACAATTCTCAACAACATTGTGGCCCCTGCCAGCAACATTGAAGTCCTCGACAGGGGTTCCTTACATTCNCTTTTTCCACCCCCCATTTCCACCAGAGGCCTGCAAGGCCGCTTCCACACTCAATTCCCTTTCCACCCTCATCCACCAATATGATTTCTCGGCTGTGGACTTGTTTTTCATTTAAGGGACAACACACTCTGCCCTCCATTCCATTTGCTCCATTCTGTTCCCTTTCAACCACCCAAAGGCGACCAACGAAAGCCCAAATACCATGCTTCAAACCTTTGTCAGTCAACTTTCCGACTGCTCCCACTTTCCAACAACAATTGCCAAACGAAGTCTTTTTGAGTGCCGTTCAAAGCTTGAGCAGCTCGACTTCAGCTCACACTGGCAATACGAGGAGACTGGGGAGTTTGGAGGACAACACAAGACTTGTATGAGCTGAGGAGCATAGTGTTTAAAAGTCTGGTTAGGTTAGGTTATTAGGTGCCCAGGGGCTCTAACTGAGACCGAGACCGGTTAGGGTTCGTTCCCAGACCCAAAATAACCTAACTGGACTGAAGATAACCGACAAAAACCAGTTAGTCACAGTTACTAACCAGTTAGGACCGAAAAAATAGAAAATCGATTAAAACAGCATATATTTTTCATATTTCTTGCAGTAAACATTATTGCCATGTATCGTAGCTTTAAAATAAGCCCAAGAATGCTAAATTCGGTGAAGAATTGACAATTTAATGATAATATTCTTGAAAGCATACTCTTTTGGCCAATATTTTAGAGATTTGACCATAACTCTGTCAGATTTTTATCGTTTCTCATGCTTTTAGATGTGTTTTGAAGGGGTATAATAGGGTCAGTCTTCACCAGTCATAACCGGTTTTTTAACAGTTAGTTAACTGCAAAATAACCAGTTATTTCATTTCCAGAATTGACTAACCACTAACCGTGGTCCGGTCTTTTTGCGGTTAGGTTCAGTCTGGTCTCGGTTATTTTCTGGTTAATTAACCGGACCTTCAAGCACTAGAGGAGCAGGTTACTGAGCAGATAAAAGTTGCAGAGGAGGAAGGAGAAGCCACTGAGGTGCCATGCACCATTTACAGCCCAACAATGTCCTCGTTAACACCCCCAGGGCCCTCTTCAACATTGTCACAACCTCCGCCAAAGTCACCACGACCCTTGTCAACATCACCATGGCCCTCGACAATAGCTTTGCAGTCCACAGTGATAACACAAGTGTCTATTCCAACGGCTTCATGGCTCTTGCCAACAGAATCATGGTCCTCATCAACAACACCCTACGTCCCCAATTCGGCTCACAATCTTCACCAAGGACCTTCAATTCTGGTTCCACGGTCAGATCCGCTTCCTCACTCATTCCCTATGGTGATATATCAGCCTCCAACTTCCCTTTCCTCAAAGGGACAATGCTCTAAGCACTCGGTATTCTGTAATCCATTCCGCTCCCTTTCAACTGCCCCAAAACAACCATCAGAAGTTCATCCACAGCGCTTTCTGCCCTTGCTTGTCAGCTCTCCTACAACCCATCCTTTCCAACAGCAACCACACAACACATCACCAACACCCTCTGAATCACACCACATTCAAATTCCATTGAATACTCAGCCCTCGGTCATCCTCATTTTCCACATGCCTACAAAAATCAGCCAGATGAGGTCTTTGCAGTGCTAAAGCACACTAACGCTGCTCGTCACTCGTGCAGCTCAACTTCGACTCACACAAGTGTCATGAGGCAATCAGGGAATTCGAAGGACAACATGAAGGTTGGGGGGGTTGACAAGCAGGTTATGGGGACAATAGAAATTGCAGCTGAGGGAGAAGGGGCCACCATGGTGCCATGCACTCATTCACCCCCTGTTCAATCAACTCATTTCCCAGGTAATGCTGCCAGAGAGCTCATGATGATGATGGCAAGGACACCATCTCTGTCTTTGACATTGCAGTCCATGCCAATGTCGTTGTGGTCCTCATCAACAACGTTGCAGCCTTCCTCAATGGTGTTGCGGCCCTTGTTAGCAGTGCTGAGGCCCTCGTCAACAAAATCATGGCCTTTGTCAACAACATGAGCACCTGCCAAAACATCACCTCCTTCCCAACGACAATCACCCAACTTTCCTTTGGATTATATTGCTTCAGACGCTTTTCAACTCTGCCAAGATGACCAGTCGTCATTTGAAGAGTCACCCTCACCAGTTGTGGCTGACAACACAGGCGACACATCCTCATCGATGCACAACACCCCTTCACGTCCGTCACCTGCCCTGTTGCATGACCTTTGTTGAGGCCAGACAGCTATCTGTGCACATCCTCCTATGCATTTCTTTCCACAGCGACGATGTTCATCCCTACTGCCTCTCTCCTGTCGACTACAACATTTTGGTGGCCAACAACCATTGAGATTGCAGCCAAGCAGTCCCATGACTCCCCAATCCACTGATCAATATTCGTCATTGTCAACATCAACTCTCATGGCCGAACATAGGGGATGCATGCCTTCAGTAACGCTCAACACGCACATGCCCTCTCTGGCCTACCATCCATGCCCAGAGACACAAGACAAGCAGGTACAGACTGAGGCATTGCCATTACCAGGTGTTTTCACAATCAGCAAAGAAGACTGCCCAACATCTTTGATGCTCGACATAACACCAACTGACTCTGGACCATACCCCACTCGGGTTCTGTTGAATAACCAATCTTCCAACATTGCCCTTGAACAGTGTTCACCACCGACCACTGTAAATTGTTTGGACAAAGTCTTTATACCGCTGGACTGCACCATTGCTGCTCAACATGCTTGCAGCTCAACATTGACTCACACTAGCAACATGGGGCAGGGGCTCTTAGCACAGGGGCAGCTGGGGAATTCAAAGGGTAACAAGAAGGGTATAGGGCTTAATGAGCAGGTTGCCGGGGAGATAGAAAGTGTAGTTGAGGGACAACAAGTCGCTGAGGGATCAGAACTTGTTGCGGTGCTGGCAAGAACATTGTCTTTGTCAACAGCTTTGCGGCCCACATCAACAGCACCTCACAACTTCAATCCTGCTTTCTTTTCGACCACTCCAACCTCGTCATCACCAATCACAGTTGACAACACAAGCAATACCTCATTGTCAATGTACAACAGCCATTCAATCTCACTTTCTGCCCCATCACGTGATTACCACCAATACTTGGGGTCACTTCATGCACGCCCTCCTACACCATTTTCCCCAAAGCAACAATGCTCCCTCCTCTCACCTCCCTTTTGTCAACCTATCCTCAATAATGACTTCACTGATTTTGACTGTGACTTCGATTTTGATTTTGACTTCAAATTTTTCTTCTGATTTTCACTCCCACCATCCATTCCCATCAATTACAAGCTTCTTCTTTTCTATCTTGCTAAGCAACTGGAAAGTAGGGGGGCTTTGTGACAGATATGGGATTCCATCCTTCTTCTATATGGTTTACTTTCCATTACTTAGCAATCACATGACTCCCTTCCATACTTGTCAGCAGTAGTCATGTGACAATACACCTTCTTCTATCTTTCAAACCACCACTACGTATACTCTGCGTCAGGATCAGTGTTGTACTGTGTTCCCCCTTGAAGTATTGTAAGTGATTTGAGTTTAGCAGGGTCACTGAATACTCTCCTAGAGGTGTTCAGTTACAGCTTGGCTCATTTCTCCCAGTATCACCTTCTTGAGGATTTCCTGAGAAGGAGCAGAGATCATGCAACGGATTTCCAAAGCATCAACGATCTCCACTAGATACTGGCCAAATCTCCCTATCTCCTTTTCTTTGGACCGAGATCCAACTTAGATTGTAGCTGATCACAGCTCAGTCTTCACACCATTACCATTCCAGCTCGCCATATGACTTTCATTGACAGCTCCCCACATTTAACACACAGGAAGTGTGTTACAAGCACCCCAAGCCATATAAACCATAGTGATCATTTAACTACTTTCTAACATATTACAGTTGTCTTAAATTTTTTTGATTGACAATGGCCTCTGTTCAGGATAGCTGATGCACATGGATGAAGAGGTCATACTCTTCATCATGCATCACACCGGCTACAAAGTGATGAAGAGATGGTTGAAATGTGTCACACCCGAAAGGGCTGGAAGACATGGCCGTATTAGTACAGTACTTCTTGCACTCACTCACACCTACAGCCAGGTAACTAAGGCTTAATAGTTATTGAAGTTGAGGTCTCCATAAATACTGTTCAGAATCTCTTTTCCTGTAACAGGGGTGAGTGTATAAAGTCAGGAATAAATTGCATTCAAAAGCATCACTTCCATTTCTAAATTTTGACTCTCCTTTACTACCCTCATGCAAAGATTAGCTGAAATTTTACGAAAGGCCGTAGCGGGCTTTGCACCCGCAGGTGCACTACTTGGTTTGAATGACAAACACGTCCACATATCCAAATACCTGACCTCGTGACAATCGCGTGACATTGGCAAACTTTCAACTCTTCTCACCACCACTTAAGTACGGTCTCTTCCGTTCTGCAGCGTAACCTCTGTGTTAAAATAACTATGGACGTTGTATTACAACAAAATCCTATTCCGTCGCCGATCTTCCCTCATCCCTGGGACGGCCGCCTACGACCCACATGATGATCGTCTAGTCAAATTGAAGAAGATGGACGTATCCATGTGGAAACAACCCGCAGGCCGCCGGTTTTGAAACACGGACAAGGTCAAGGCTATTTCAATCGTATGTTTTGTCGATTGTTGGTTTGGAATTGGAACGTTGAACTGTTATCTACGTTGATGTGCTTCGTGGCTCGCTTATCACCTTCGTGTTGCGTTGCTACAGTCGTGCGTCTTGCCTTTTTTTTTTCAATCGCACAGTCCGTCGGCTTTCTCTCAACGGCGTCATCTGGCGTCATGCCAATCAACAATGCGTGTCGATCCGTTACGGCACCGTATGTTATAAATTTCATCATGGTTTCGAATCCTAGCCTATCCTAGCGTTCATAACAACACAGCGATTATATCATGATTCTCAATAGCCGAGGCCCTTATGGGCGTCATGGTGAGTATCTTGTGTATAGCGTTTTTTAATTAACACAAGATTTTATCTCTGCCGGGTGTTATAACAGGCCAGGTTGGCACTGGGGATGAAACGATCCCTGGAGGAAGGATCCACGTTCCAGCTCCATGGCGTTCACTCTGGAACAAGTGATTACCTTGCTGGAGCATTCGAGTATTAGTCATGTATGTTCTTTTTTTTCTCTTAGATTCTTCAACAACTTACGGGATACTTACGGCTTTCCTGCAGCGGACGACTGGTTTGTGTTTTTCCTCTTGATTTCAATGGTCGGTTGTGGTTGACAATAAAAAATAAACAGCGGCGGCCGTTTGTCTTTTGGTACGCCCTCTTCGTTCGTTTTCTCTTACTTCCATTTACTTGTTTGGACAAGGTATACGAAACCCTCTTGTCATTCGACAGAGACGTCGAGTTGATCTGGTCAGCTCCATGGAACACCATCAAGATCCTATTTCTCTTATCGAGGTACATGCCATTCATAGACGCAGGAGTGGTTTTATATTGTAAGACGCCCACTCCGTCACTCTACCCTGCCTTTTCTTTACTGAATTGTGGGCAGATATATTGTTGGATGGATCGTCTCATGATAGATGTCTGACAGTGTTCAAGCTTAGTGGGAGTAAGCATACCATTTCGTTTGTTGTGCCTGTATGATTGCATTGATGGATGCTGGAACGCTTAGCTTTGTTCGCGTTGGGGATTGGGGTTACTGAGCGTGAGTGACAGCCTTTGGTTCTTTGCTCCGTCAGACTGACAATCCGACTCAAGTCCTATTGACGATAAGAACATGGGCGGTATGGGGCAAGGACAAGAGGCTGACTATCGCCCTCCCGATCCTTTACGTTGTGTGTATGGCAGGTGTGCTCACATCGTTGAGGCTCTTCCTTCCTACAGTCGGTTGTAAGTCTTTATCCTCCCGGGTTAGATTGATCGCTGATGTGTACTTTTTTGTGTAAAGTCATCCCGCCTCCACGCGATGCTGGTGCCCAGTCCGCGGGGTGCTTTAATACCGGGCAAGCCCTGTTTTGTTTGCTGCGTGGGTTTTTTTAATGAGTTATGATGCCGGTGAGTGGGATTTCGGTCCTTGTGAACTGGCGATGCTGAGGAGGCGATGGAGTTATGTTGATTTTGATGGCGATACGAGGGTTGCCTACGCGTGCGTGAGTTGCTTTTTGGCGGGGTAGTTTTTTGATGTTTGATGCAGTTAAAACTACTCGTCTTGGACATCGAAAACTGGCGAATGCTGTATTTCTTAACGGTGCGAATTGATCTTTATTTGTCCATCTAGGCATTGACATGTAACCTTTAGGAACCTTTTACTACCTCTACCTCTTTGGTAGGTGCTCAAATTAGCGTGCTGACGCCAACTATTGACGTGCGCCTCCAGTTATGTCCGCTATCAACGTTGTGCTGATATATCCAGTAAGTAGCTACATTCTTCTGTTCAAAGATCATTATTGATTTTATTCTAGTACGGCTACCACAATCTGCTTTCGACGTAAGTTTCTCTCTAAGAATCCAAGCCGACTGCTAAGACTTTCCAAAGATTTGAGCGCGTCATGTACTCGATCTTGACATGCCGGGTGATTTTGGACATACGCGGCGAAACGACGTCCGTCAATGACTGGATGGCAGACTCGACAAGATCTCACGCTAGAGTCCGCATTCCTGTCCATAGGTAGCCGACCTTTTTAGAATTTTAACGTAGATAGAATATGTACTAGCTGTAATGTTATGCTTGGCTGAGACTCGGTGATCAATATGTGTGGTTGTCTTAAATGTTTGAGGCGCGTTCTTGACGGTGAGCCACGATTTTGAACGTTGAAACGCCTTTTATTGCCGGCTTGAATGGTCCACCGTCCTGCAGACTCGCGTCTTTTGGCAAACCTCCTCTCCCACGAAAAAGAGTATGCAAAACAGTTACAGGCTCTTCTAGCCTCATCTCTTCTCAATACATAGCATTCCCTACCTCCTCTTCTTCTCGCTCTCCTACACACCCGTCCCCGTCACCGTCTGCGCTAGAACAAGCCCGGATCAATATGTGGCTCAAACAATGCCCTTCGTTGCGGAGTGACCTCCTTTTTTCTGGTGCGAGCTGGCAGAAACCGTGGGATGTGGGTGAGGGTGATGATGAAGCTGAGGAGGGCGTTTCGGAGGATGGGATTCCGTGGAGTGCTGTTGGGTTGGCGCAGTGATGCGGTGGTGCTGTGCACTGACTGCTGGAGTCGTTTTCTTGGTTTATTCTATCTCGTCTACCGTTCGCGTCGGTTGGATCGGCTGCTTATCTTGTTTGGGACTCCAGCGCTCTTCATCCAAGCATACGAAGCCACCATCATTCGTGGGCCGCATGCCAAAGCTCTTGCGAGATCCTTGGAAGTCGTCCAATACGATTTCGAGTCGGATAACCCTCTCTCAACTCAGAAGAAGGCTGTCGTTGGGGAGGCTCTTGTAAGATGGGGTGGTTTGCACCCGGTGGTCGCTGCGTTCCCGGAGGATGAAGATGAGGACTACGGTTTGATTCGTGATGGTATTGCCAATTCACCAGTACTACCGGAGGAGGAGGAACCTGCAATTTGGGTGGACCGGTAGGTTTCTTTCGCTTTTCCTTTACCCTCCTCCACTAACTCTTTTTTAGATACGACGTCCGACTCCTCTTAGATGTCCTCCCTCCCCCAACATCATCTTCCATACCACCCGCTGCCCCGGAGTCACCTATAGGCTGGTTAGACCTCCCTTCAGATTCAGAAGACATGTTCTTCTTCTCTCCCGACGAAGCGGACGATTTCCGCCAGGAGAAGAGGCGGAAGGTAATGGAGCGGACGAGGGAAGAGAGATTGAAAGCAAGGATAGTTGAGGATGGTGTTGACGACGAAGATGCTGCGAACCACCATGGGGAAGAAGAAGACGTGTGGGGTGGGACCGACGAAGAGGTATGTCTCTTCCCTCGTTTTTTCTGACCTTTCTAACGATTACTTAGCCGGACCAAAGCCAAAAAGAACTAATGTCCCGAAC